TGACTTTATTCAGTGTTCTCCCACAAGTCCCCATTTTCTGCTTAGTTAGCCAAACTCAATTTCTATGGCTTATAAAGAAAAGACATTGGTCCTAAAAGATATACAGAGGTAGGAGTGGTACAACCCATGATTACACTATAATTTTTTTTTTTTTTTTTTTTTGAGACAGGGTCTCATTATGTAATCTGGACTAGTCTTGAGCTTACTATGTTGCCCATTCTGGCCTCAAACTTATGGTGATCCTCTTGCATGTACCTCCCAAGTGCTGAGATTACAGGCATGCACTATCATACTCAACTATTTTGTGTCTGGGGGTTGGAAGGCAGTGAAACCTGGGCATTACATTTAAACTACATCCCTGGCTCTTTTTTTTTTTCCGAAAAAGAACAAGGGAGCAAGAGAGAGACAGAGACAGTGCAAGAAAGAGTCTTGCCAACTCACTAAATTACCCAGGCTGAGCTCAAACATCTTGTAAACCTTCTGCCTCAGTCTTCCAGAGCCTTGGGATTACAGGAATATGCCACCACTCCTGGTTATGCCACCAATTTTTTCTCTGTCTCCCTCTCTGTGGTTTCTGTTATTTAAGAAATTAGTAGCTAATGTGAGAATGTTTTCACCAGGGGACTCAATCACGCCTTCATTAATTGGAATGTGAGGCTACCTGGGTTCCTCATTTGGGCAGGCAGTAGATTACAAGGAGCATATACAGAAAGTAGGGAAATCCTCAGCACCTCATCATACGAAGACTACTCAACATGGCCAACCTGCAAGGGCTCAGACCTTTCAGAAATAGTTTGCAATTCCAAAGTCTACGGTCTTTAGCCCTCTGTTTTCTACTTACAGCAATATACTTGCAACTACTTAACCAAGGAAAGTCTCTCATTCCTACGCCTTGCCATCTGTTATTCTGAATGGAACTTCTATTATCTTTGAAACTTTTCTCTGATCCCGAGGTTAGACTAGATGCCCTTCTTCAGAGTTCCAAACATCATGATAGAATGTCTTAAAATGAAAATATTCTATATGCTGATTAGTTTTTCCTACTAGACGATAAACTTCTAAATCAAAGAAACCACATCTTTTATATTTGTATCTCAGTACTGTAATCAGTAAGGATGTAATAAATGCCATTGAAAAGAATAGTTTTTCCTCATAGTTCAGTATTAATCATTAGATTTTGGGTGCCTGTGTCTAATTTAACATCAAACAAACTGAGTCCCTTAATTATTTACTGTATGTGTTCCAAATCCTCCCAGTAAGTATAAGAAGTTGTTGTGAGCCAAGTTAACAACTTACTACTGCTATATTCTCTTTAGCACATAAGCATGTTGGGTACATGGTAAGTATTCAATGAATACTAGATTAACTAAATTAAAAACACAGTATTAGCACATTAATAGAAGTAACTTATCATACTCTACTGATCTAATTAAAAGATCTGGCCTTCTGAAGTAATGTAATTGTACCCATATGGAAAATTTAATGAGAAAAAGAAAAATGATCCAATTGGACAGATCAGAGCTTTTCTTTTAGAAAGAGTTCTATAAATACTTTATAAGTAACAGGCTCAAAGCAAGACTCAGGTGGGTGGGTGAAGCTCTAATCCATTCATGAGGCTGAGGCAGGAGGATCACAAGTTCCAGCCCAGCCCATGCAATTTAGCATATCAGCAAGATCCTGTCTCATAATAAAAAAGAAAAAGGGGTGCAAATGTAGTTCAATTCGAAGACTATGGGTTTAATTCCTAGTACCATGGAAAATAAAATGAAACAAATATCTAGTGTATAGTTCAGTGCAAAGCCCTGGTTCAATCTTCAGTGCCACACATACAAAGTTATCTTTGCATAATATACAAACAGCAGTCATTTACTCATTCAACACACACTGAATGCCTGTTAATGACAAATGCAATGTTAGGGCCTGGAAACATGAACATAAAGAGAACATGTGGGTGTGGTAGCTCTGCCACATTGCAGTGGTATTTAAAATATAATGTGAGGGGCTGGGAAGATGGCTCAATGGAATAAGCGCTTCCCTGGCAAGTGCAAGGGCCTGAGTTCAATCCCCAGTTCCATCAAAAAAAGAAAAAAAAAGGAAAGAATATAATGTGAATCACACCCTCCCCATACAGACTCTACAATCTGAAGTCTGGTTGGAAAGGCAAAATAACATATATTGATGGCAATGTGGTAAGTGCTAATGTAGAAATAAATACAAGTTGTTAAGCAGCCACTGAAGAAATCAGTAGATATGGAAAAAAAAATGACATTCACACATGAATTCAATCCTAGTTCAGATACAAGGAAGCTATTAACACACAACAGCAGTAATGGAATCAAACCACAAACCATAGTTGCAAGCAGTCAGGAAGGTTCCAAATCAAACCAATCCAACTTAAAGCAAATCTCTGAAGTTCAAATATAAAGCAGTTCTTTCCAATAAGCTTAAGCATAATGAAACACACATACAAAGGAAGCTAAAACTATATGCTTCCTTAGTGCAAAGGGACTCTTAATATGTAGGATAAAAGCTCAAAAGGAGCCAATCACTAAGAATGAAAGTAAACTGTCTGGAAAAGCTTTATAAAAGTTAAACTACTGCTTCGCTAGACATAGTAATACACCACTGTAATCGAACAAGAGGCTCTCTGTAAGTTTGAGGCCAGTCTGGGCTCACTGTGATTTCAAGGTCCTTGTTTCAAGAAAATAAAAAATAAGGGGGGGAACCCCTAAAATTGTTGTTAAGGAGGAAACAGTTCATACCCCAAGAGATGCTTGGTATTGTTGTTAACAAAAGCAGTGCTGGGATCTAACCTGCATACCTGTGGGACAGATGTTACTCCAAAGATTTACACTGTGAAGCAGTTGGGGGAAGAGGATAATAAAGGCCTATTTGCCTAGAACAGAAACCTAGCAGTCTGGACACTGCTCTAGACTCACAGTTTTCAGTCCTAGATGCTGAGTAGGATCACATAGAGAACTTTAAGTTTTTCTATTATTTATATTTTTAAGTACTACACCTAGAAAGGTGTGGTGGCACGTGCCTGTGATCCCAGCACTTAGGAGGCTGAGGCAGGAGGATTCAAGTGCAAGTGTGCCTGGGCAATTCAATGAGACTGTCTTAAAGGGTCAAGGTGGGTGGACTGGGCATGCAATTGAGTGGGAGAAAGCCCCTAGGTTCAAACCCTAGCATTGTTAAAAATAAATAAAAATAAAGATATGCCAGTGGTCAACCTTCAACCCAGATCAAAATAACCACTGAGGGAAACAGCCCAGGCATCAGCATTTAAAGACACAGAAGGCAATTCTAACATGTAGTCCACTTGGAGAACCAATGGGCTGGACAAGCACAGGTGAGATACAAGATCCGAGCCAGATTTAAGACCCTGTTTATAAGCAACAATTTCAGGCTCATTACCAGTTGAAGCTTATCTTCTAACCTGACTTAAATAGTCTGTTTTCTTGTTTCTTTTTCCTTGTTGATAGGCTATACACTCTGTCATTAACTTCTCATGTCTGATTGACGGTCTGACTGTACTGTCTGCACCTTTAGCATTCTATCTCTGTGATGGGTCACAGACAGCTAACCTAGAAAACAGCAATTTCAATCCTAAACTGCCTTTGCAATGCTTTGGAATGCAATGCTTTCATAATTGGAATGTTCTAGGCTGCATCCAAAATTTCTCTTAAATATCAGGACAATCTAATACCAATGTAAATACAAAAGTTACAATGCTAAGACTAGAGAAAAACGTGAGAATATTCACTTGTAGTACCTGGACGTATTTTACTCTTGGGTTTTTAAGTGTAATCAAGCACGATGTAATTTACTTTGCAACAAATACTTAAAGGGAAACACATATATTCCATACCGCAACTCTGAACTACATTAAACCTAAGTCCTGTGGAGAAGATAAAAGTCATCAAGGTGATTTAGAGTACAACAGCCTGTTGGTCCTTCAAAAAGCAGGTCTGCTCTCTTAAAACCAATGTTGGAAATATACTTCAGGATCCATTATTCACTGGAAGGTTAACTCAGAAATATGTACACCGTGTATAAGCAAGCAACCGTCTTCTTGACCTGTAAAGTCAGCCACAAATGTCGTTTTGTGCGGTGTTGACTCATTGTATTTTACTTAAGTTAAATGTTATCCAAAGATTATGACTTGGCACTGAGATTTACGCAGGCTTACTTGTAAATAAAAGTTAATACGAAAGCCCAAATCCCGATGTTAATGAGTGTGGTGGAAGAAAGAGCAAGTGAGGGCTCAATAATCAAAGCGTAAATACCTAAACAAAAGCCCAGAAACCTCATGTTTCTTCGGAAAAATGGAAATAGATTTGAAGAGTTGGCCATTCGCCTGCACTTTTCCTAAATATTTGGAAAGCAAAAGAGGCTTCTAACAAGAAAACAGTCTAACTCTCCGACACCGAAGTGAGAGCTGAAAACGCAAGCCACAGGAGTTTGACAAGGGGGTCCGAAGGAAAGTCAGAGGGCAAGAGATGGAGACGGAAAAGGTGAAGCAGGCGAACAGAGCCCAGGATGTGCACCGCGCTGCCCAGCGCTGAAGGCACCCAGGACTGCGTGGGGCCTCGGTCGCCCCGCGCGCATGAGGCCAGGGTTCGGGGCGAGCCCCCCACTGCCGACGGCAGGAGGCGCGGGGCGGCGGAGAGGAGAGACCTCCGCGCCCCACCGGCGCTCGCAGGAGGCCCGGCTCTGCACGCAGGGGTCCGCGGGAAGGAGGCACCTCGACACACCTCCTGCCTCCGGGAGCGAAAAGGGGGTGGGTGGAGCTGAGCCCGGGGCCGCCCCCCGGAGCCGCCCCCGCAGCCCCGGCCGCCGCCCCCCGCCTGGCTGTCAGCTGCCCCCTCCCGCGCTCACTCACTCGCCGGCTGCGGGATCTCGGCCGCGCTGGTGGCGGCGGCGACGGCGACCCCCGCCTGGGTCATGATCCCAGGCGGGGAAGGCAGGGGTGTCTGAGCACCCCGGCAAATCTCTCCGTCGGCGGCCGCCGCCTGCTCCTCTGGGGCTGGGGGAGCGCGGGCCCGAGCCCTCCTCTCCCCCCGCCCCCGCTGCCTCTTCCCGCGGCCGCGGCCGCCGTTGCGAGTCCAAGCCCTCAAGGCCGGAGACCCGGCGGCAGCGCTGCCTCAACTTTCCCAGCCCCCCTCCCCCCGCCCCTCCCCTCCCGCGGCCGCCGCTTAGCACGCGGACAGCCTACCCTGAGTGCGCAGCGTGCCCGCCCCGCCACTCAGCTCGCCAATCAGATGCCAAGGAGACAGCCATTCTAGCCAATCAGAAGCCAGAACGCCATTGCGACAGACTAGAGGGCGGGAGGAGAAGGAGGGAAAGCCGAGGAGTGAAAGGGCCTCAGGCGGCCCAATGAGGAGGACCGGGGGGCGGAGGTGTACATGGTTGGGTTGAAGGAACAGGAAATATTCTTAAAGGTAGAGTGACGGGCAGGAAGGAAAGCCAGTAGGTGAGTGGGAAAGAGGTGGGCCTGGTTCCTTAAAGGGGAAGTCTTGAGAGCCTAGAAAAGATGTTTTAAGAAACTTCTTAGTATCCTGCAATCTGTTCCGCTTTTCACGTTTCACTGTGAGAGTTTGGAAGTGGAAAAAGTGAAGAGGAAAAGGGCACGAAAGGCTTTAGGAGTGGTTAGGGAGCTCCTCCTAACCTAGAGAGCAGGAACGCGGGGTGGGGGGATTTGTGCTAAGAAGAGGCAGGGAAGAAAGAGAATCCACGTCTCCGACGGTTCTTTCAGTGGAAAATTTTTGGTAGACCCGAGGCTAGCCGAATTTCTAGGCTGCTGTCTCCTGACATTCTTTATTTGCGGGGATTCCTGAGGACTGGAGAGGGCTGTGTTCAGAGATAACCTGGGGGCCTCCCAACTGAGAAGCGGAGTGTGGAGCATTGCGGGACAGAGTTGTGGACACCAAGCATACCAGACCTGTGTCTGGGAGGGGTAGGGCCCTGGGGCGTGGAATGGAGACGGGGGTGGGGTGGGGTGGGGGCGGGGGGGCTAATTTACAGCCCTACAATCGTGCTCATAATGTTATAGGCAGCTAAGTTAAGATAACAATAAATACTGAGTCAAATGGGGACTGGTCTCTCAAGGAAGTCAGCAAAAACAAAGACAGCGGAATTGTGGCTGGAGCTGCATCGGAAGGCGGCCAGGCCTTTCTCAGGGCTAAACAATAACTTGAGATCATATTACAATTAGCATTGCCAAACCCATTAAATCCATCTGTGCATCAGAACACCAGAACAATGGACCCATCCCTTGCCCAAAATGTTTTAGAAGTCATAGATAAACCAAGGTTAATGGTGCTAGCCATATACCCTGACTCATTTTCCTATTAGATCAATATTGGCTAAGTGGCTATTCTTGTAATCCTATAGGTTGACGGTAATTTGGCCCACAATGTGTCTTTGCTGTATAAATTACCTCCGATAAGGGGCCTCTGTGTCAACCCACTTTTAGAATCCCTCCAAGTCAGGACCTATCACTAAATCTTTATTTTTTATTTTTTTGCGGAACCGGGGATTGAACTCAGGCCCTTGCGCTTGCCAGGGAAGCGCTTGTTCCAGAGCCATCTCCCCAGCCCCTCTGACTCTTAATCTCCATTGGTCCTTGGATTTTAGAGGACAGGTTGGGAGTTATTTTGCCTATATCAGTAACTCCCATCTTGAAACAGGTATCTTCCGTTTATGGAAATGGTGAAAGATTTCAAAGTCCTTCCAGTCACATTTGGTAAAGTCCCAGATTTTAAATGTCCATGGGTCAAACCAAGTAACTTTCAGAAGTTGTGCAGTGTGGTATAATGGGGTTTACATGAGCCTTTACACACAAAACGCAGCCCTTACATTAA